CTGTTTTGCTGGTAATCCTTTTATTTGGGTGGAATTAAAACAGTTCGAAGAAGAAGCAGAGTTTCATCACCAGTTTTTAGTAAAGCAGCATCTGTCGCTGGAAACGGGTGAAACAAATATTATCTTCAGGTGAAATATTGTTTCTGGAAAGGTTGTTTCTTCCCTACAAACAGTTTCTGGTAGTTCAGGAAATGATTTAGAGGTTTGCTAAAAAAACAAAAAAAACAATGCATCTTTAAATATACATTATTTTTGTTTTAGCTTTTGATTATAACTTTTTAAAGCCAAGTGTATCATGTTTCATACATGAGTTTTTGAGGCTTCTGCATCATCAGTGTGATATTTTCGTTCTTGAAAACCCTAACTTACACAATCAGACTCTGTAGTGAACAGAAAAAGTGTAAAAGAATAAACAAAAATGTTTAATGTTTAAAAACTCATGCAAATAAATGCTGTAATTTAAGTAGTTCAGTTATTTAATTTGTCAGAAAAGTAATTTACAATTCTGTTTTTTTTTATTTATTTAATCTTATGTCTATTTTTTCAGGCTTTAAAGGGTTGAACAGTTTTTTTACAATATATTTTTTTTAACTGTTTATTTTGGAGAAACTCTTCAGTTTCAGTTTAATTTTGTCAGTTTATTTATTTACAACAAATATAATTCAAAGCACTTTACAGAGAAAATTCCATACAATCACACAGACGGATTAACAGTTTTTCTATCTAAGGAAGAAGCAGCTGCACTGCATCGAGTACGTTAGGTGAAAATAAAGGTGGACCCTGGTAGATGCCTTCTGTTTGCGTGTCGTTGCTGTAGCTGTTATTAATACTAAAGCATGACCGTTTTTAGTCATGTCTAAACTATGTCTTTCTTTATCTTCAGTTGACAGTGATGCTCTTTTATACAAGTGTTTTTTCTCTTTAACAGTCTGGAGGAAAAAACAAGAACTCCAGAAAAATGTTATAACTTTCCTATATTATTCTATGTTCTGATGTCAAATGCATTCCAATAGTTCTTGCTCTCAGGAAGAACAATTCGAGTCTTTGACAGATGGAAAACCTACCGCAGTGAACTTCCCACATGTTTGCTGCCCTTTATTTGAAAGCAGGATGAAAGGAACTTAGGTTTGCAGGAAAGATAAAAAATTTGGGACAAAAGGAGTGAGCTCTGCCTCCATAGATGGGCTGCAATGCTGCACCCCTAACAATCATCTCTACATTAACAGATTAAATAAAGTCACTAGTTGAAAGCAAACAATTTAATGCAAACCTGGAGGTTTTTTACTTAAAGAACAAGAATTATGTCTAAAATTGGATTTCACATATCTACACACTTTCAGATCCTCCATAAAAAAAAAAAAAAAAAGTGCAGCAAATAAACTATTAGGCAACCAGTAAAGGAGGGTAAGGTACGGGCGGTTTCCTTTAACATCAGCATTTATGGAATGAGACGAGTCCAGAAAACTTTCATTTCTGAAGCGTTTGAGGAAGTTTACGCTAAGTTTGTTCCCTTTGGTCCTGTGCCAAAAAATCTGTTCTTAGAAATGACTCCTTTCATTTTCACAAGGCAAGGCAAGGCAAGGCAAGGCAAGGCAAATGTATTTGTATAGCACAATTCAGTTCAAAGACAATGCAAAGTGCTTTACATGATTAAAATACAGGAAGATAAAACAGAATCAAAGCAAGAAGGAAAAAATAAAAAATTAAATTAAATAAAAAATGCAGAAACAAAAAAGAATATTAAAAACAGTTGGACTAAAGAAAATATGTTTTAGTGCATCTTAAGTCTTTTCACCCAAGTATGGAGATAAGAGTACCATCAAAAAAATTATAAATAGGCGTCTGAATTTGTAAAGTCAATAAAGGCGGCCTTCCGTGTTCCAAAATCAAAATTTTTCTGAAGGCTGTGGGCGGCAACAGGTGGGGTTTCATAAACGCACTAATAATTTGGAAAAATATATGTTGTTTATTTCCAGAAAATAAATAATAAAGTTAACTTAATCTGCTGTTACAGCCTTCAAAATATGAAAATGATTAAAATTGGTCAAAGAAATCTTTTTATCACCTCCTGTCCTCACACCAAACATTTGAAGAACATCTAAACCATCCTCCCAGCCCCTGCTGTGTGTTCCCAATCTTCTAAATTTGTGTAAAATTTGTGTAAAATTTACCAAAGTAAACGTAGGATAAACTTAGCAAAAATTCCAAATATAAAAATGATAGATCTTGGATTCAGACTTACTTAGATATAATTGGTCTAAAAAATTAAACGGAACTTGTTATTTACAATTCTTTTTACATAAATGGCCACAACAAAAGGTAAATAAATGTAAGATTTGTATTTGTTCCTTGTTTTCAGCATACACATACATGTGATGTCAGGTGTTTCTTCTGAGAGATTAAAATTTACAACTTTCCAAAACGTAGAAAAAAAGAGTAGAAATGTACAATCCCTGAAGATGCTGTTACACTCCATACCAGCTGGTGGCAGTAAAACCTCTGAAGAACAAACCATCAATTAACCATTAACTGAATCTTTGATTGATGGTTCTGTTTTTGTCTTCTGGTTTAAAAGCAGATGGAAAATAACTTTCAGGTTCAGAGCAACCAGCTGGGAATATAACAGCTTTATCAGGGGATTTATTTGGACATTTGTGATTCAGGCTTGCATTGTTGCAAACGTCTTAACTGGATTCTCACAGAGGAAACATCTGATGTCACTTATATGAGAGTTATTGATGTCAGAATTAAGGACTGTAAGAAAAACAAGATGCAAAACAGCAAAGGGAGAAAAGTGGACGTGTGAGAGGATGAGGGTGAAGACGATTTGATTATTTTTCCCACCTTTTTCAGGTCCACATATTCTTCAACATGGGGTCTCAAAAGCCTTTTGATTCAGATACAATGAAGGAGCTGAATAACCGCTTTATCTGCTACATCAATAAGATCCGGTCCCTGGAGAACCAGAACAACACACTACAAGGAGAGCTTGATATTCTGAAAGAGACGCAGTCCAGCCTGTTCAATGAAGAGAAGAACCGTTTAGATGAGCAGATCACATCCCTGAACAATGAAAAAGATACATTAAGGGAGCAAATAAATGAACTGAAGGAGAGGTAAGGAAGTAAGGGTAATGTCTGCGTTCAGCACTCTACTTGTTTTGTGTTACTTTTTCATCATACAAACATACATAATACAACATATTTCACTCAGATTTGATCTGACTGCTGTAGTAACAGATGCAGGTCTTTTGGGGTGCAGCCTAGAATATCCCCAGACCGAAGCTGTAGCTCATGAATCTATAAAATAGCTCAATAATATTCTTACGGGAGGAACTCCTGCTACTGGTATTCATGTGCTTCTCCAGGGCCGTCCAAGGTTTTGTTTCACTTGGACGTTTTTACCCCAGAAGTAATAGACACGATGAAATACATTCATTGTTAAAGCTGTTTTATTACTCTTACAACTATGGTTCCTATTTACAGATTTTTAGAAATATCTGTATTCCAGTGGGTTGGAAGACAAAAAGTTTGGGAACCTCTTTGAGCAACATTAAGAGTTTGAGTCAGACAAATAATTTAACTATTGTTAAGGAAGAAATTATTCTAAAATAGTTAACTTTGGAAAAAGGTTGGCTTTCTTTCTTCCTTTCCCAGGTCCGCT